AACAAGTGAGGTTACAAAAAGTGTTCACTGTCTAAGGTCACTCTAGTTACCTACTATCTTAAAAGAAGTAAATATAGGATAACAGTATGTAGCAAATTTTAAATCAGGCCAATTACTTGTTTCAGACATATTATGCCTTGGTAGATTACAAATAAGGCTGCAATTACTTGTTCTAGACTTATTATGTGTGCTGCTACTAAATTAATTGATTGATTATTAATTGAAATTGAAGAATACTAAATGAAATTGTATGACTAGTGGTGAGTAGTTGCTAAGTCTTTATTCAAGCTGAAATAGGTCTAATTTTTGTACAAAACACAAGTTACAAATCCAGTTTATTTATTGCATTCTATTAAATATTTGTTTTTGTAAAAGCAGGTTATTACGATCCAATTAAAGTTTTTTTTTAAATAAATTTTTGAATTAGAGTTTAGAACATAAATTTTTTAAAAAATGCCTGATTCAATATGGATTCATTTTATTTAATTAGGACATGTAACTGGGTTTAGACAAAAATGAAGAGAATGTAAATATTTTCAATACCAGATTAATGATTCTCTTAGATCTGCACATACCCATTTTCGAAACTGTGAGCTAGTTACATCTGAGCAAAAAAATAATTATTTTGGTAAAGAAGAAAGCAGTAATAATATGTCCTTAAATGTACCTAATGTGTTTGCTTTAGTTGCATTAACATCTACATCTGCTTTAGTCACATCAACATCATCATCTGCTTCTTTAGTTACACCAACTTCATCAATGCCTAATGAAAAAGTATATAGTAAAAGTACAAGTAGAGCTCCTATTACAAGTTATATTACAGCTGATCGTATGTCTAATGTAGAACAAAAATTGCTTAAGTTAGAACTTGCATGATCAATATTTCAATGTGTCCTATTCTTATCTTTACCTGAAATGGAACTGATCAAAAAATTGTGGAAACAAGCATGGCCGGCATTCAAGCTACCTAGTTGAAAAAAACTTTCAACAAATTTATTAGATAATATCTACAATGAAACAAAAAAAAATGTTGAGAACTTAGTTAATAATGGCAAAAACCTGTGTCTTATTTCAGATGGATAGTCTAATTTAGTACAAGAGCATTGGACTAACTATATCTTGACAACACCAAAACCAGTATTCTATACAGCTTATCCAACTAATAAGGTATGTCAAGATAGTGAAACAATCACTAATAATTTAGAAAAGATCATAATTAAGGTAGGTATATCGAAGATCTTAGCTATTGTTACAGATAATGCATCTGTAATGAAAAAGACATGGCGCTTGTTAAAAATAGATTATTCTGAAATTTTGTTTTTAGGCTGCATTGCACATATCTTAAATCTTTTAGTTAGTGATATAATGAAATTATTGTGGAGTGCAAATATATTTAAAAGGACAAAATAATAGTTAAATACTTTTGAAGACATCAAATTCAAAAGGCTGTATTAAAACAACACCAATTAGCTTCATATGATCGACAAAGATCTCTTAAATTTCCAGTTAAAATGTGGTAAGGATCCTCAGCAAATTGCTTTAATTCACTTATTCAAAATCAACTTGCACTTAAGTTAACTATTACTAAGTTATCTTATAACAATCATATCATAATACCTAATACTGTTAGCAATACTATAAACAATGAGAATTTTTGGAAAGATATTGAATTATTACTAATTGTATTAACATGGAAAACTAAGCTAATGATGGCCAGACTCAATGTACAGAGCAGGCTATGGTACTTTTCGCAACTGTGAAAGTCGAGCATATGGTGAGCGAATCTACAGAAGAATCTTCTACTTTCTTGAATTCTATTTCATTATCAAACATCAAGAAAGCACCACAAGAACCAATTCACAAGACATTATATGACCCAGACTCATGCTATAACCAATGGCTAGCACATCTAAATTTACCCCTATTGCCATATTCACAAATACTTTATTCATTTTTAAAACATATCCATCAATACAACTTTACACAATATAATCATTTCAACTATGCACTAATATTAGTAATCAAACTTGACTATAGTGAATGCTATATACACCTACCACATGTGTCTGAACCTCTACCTGATTACTTCTTTTCATATCTATCAGGTTATACCTACTATCCATCCATACCTATACCTTCTAAATTCTCTTCAATAAACAACAATACATTAGATACTAATTCAATTATAAAGGACAATGAATTAGTTAACACTTATTCTCAATTATTAGGAACTATCTTAGATGGCTATGATGAAACTACCATAGCTAATTGACACTACAACAACATTCAATTCAATACCTGCTACAACAAATTTTTATTCTATAACCACATACTACTACTCTCTCATCCTCAAACTATTATTACTTTTTTACGACATATCGATAGCTTTGGATATTCACCTGATAATTTATGTAGCTATACATTAACAATCTTCATTAAAAATGATTATAGTGAAGCTTATGTCTATTTTTTATCTGAACCCAAACCCTTACCTAATCATTTCATCTTACCAGTCCAAGCCATTTGGCATTATCCAAATATCCAACTTAAATCAAATACATCAACACCAGTTTTTTCCATATTAGCATCCTTAGACCATCAGTTCTTCTCTATCTCTCACCTATCTCAAAGACCAGTATCCCCAAACTATCACAGTCTATTTTTACTACCTTCTAACAACTTAACAACAAACTCCAAACCACTAAACTTACTAATCTGTACACATAATGTATGAGGCTACAATGAAGATTTAAAACAACAAATCTGGGAAGACTTCTGTCTTTCTAACAATCTCAAAATCATTAGTATTACAGAAACCAAAATCACTGCAAATAATCCCATAACCAAATTACAAAAATCCAAACACTTTACTTATTTCTGGTCCTGTACTGATAATCCAAAAGCTGGCACAACTATTATGATTCATAAGTCTATTAAATGCCACATTCACAAAATCCTACTCTTCTCTGAATATGCTATCGCAGTAGATCTTTTTTTCAAACACGACTTCAAGTTTAGAATTATTTCAATTTATTTACCATGTGATAATTCTTAACTTAGACTATCAGTACAGAATACTATTATTCAATAGATTCAACAAGCTATTACTTTAAACATACAACCCATTATTCTAGGTGACTTTAATGCATCAGA